CCCCACCTTTCCTATGGGTTTCTGCAGCTGGAGCCAGACAGCACAATTCACAGGAACTTAGTGATGGACAAGGCTCTGGCCCCTCATTCTATTAACTCTTATCAGCCACCTGTCTAGTGAGAACACAGGCCAACTCCTGTGGGAACCCAGCTCCTCTTCATCTTTGCATCAGTGGGCTGAGCAAGAGGGCAGAGGCCAGAGCTCCTGAGGCCCTGGAGAAGGGAGCAGTCAGGGCAAACTGAGGGCAGCGAGGAAGCTCCAGAGACTCTAACACTCCTTGGCTTTGGGCGAGCTTGTCATTACTCTGTGGTCTGCACAGGGTGGTGAAAGAAGTTTGGGTTGCTCCCCACCCTCCCGGTACAGGGGATCAAACTCAGGACCTTGCATTTGCCAGGCAGGCATCTGAGGTATATCCTCTGCAGATTTTGGTTTTTGAAGACTGAAAACTGAATTTGAAGGTCATCTATCTATTTTTTCTGCTCTCGGAAATAACTGTGGTGGGCAGCAAGGGATTACCTTTAATGGAATTCTAGGGGAAAGAGATGATTCTTCTCAGTTTCCCCTTTTTAATGTTTTAGCCAATTTCCTACAATTTTTTGCCTGATTCAGGCAACTTCTTCTCATGACTTCACCTGACAGAGGCAAAAGGCGCATGTCTGTCTTGCTCCTCTAATAAAGACACCTGTGGGACCCCTCTCTCAAGACTTAAATCTAAACATAAATCACTTCCCAAAGGCCCCATACCTCCAACTACCTGCACACAGCGGGGTGGAGGTCAGAAGCTTCAATGTATGAATTGTTGGGGTGGGGGTGGAGGACAAAATAATTCAGCCCCATGTAGGTAACCGCGACGATACAGTCTCTCAGGAAGGGCTTCACCTCCCTATCACAGGAGGTGGTAAAGCCCCCCAGGACAGGGAGCCCAAGAGTCAGAAAATCTAGGAAAGCAGTCACACCATACACCCTTGCAAGGTGTGAAGGCAGGTTATTTCAGAAGCATGCAACTGTGAAACTAGAAAATATAACACATGTAGGACCAAAGTCATTATTGTCTGAGCCCCCAAATATTCAGGGTTCACTGGATTCCTTCCACAGTCCCTGCCTCAAACAAAACCCCGGGTACTGTGTCTGGCTCACTAACCAGCATGCAATTTTTGAAAAATCATCCTTAGTGATGCAAAAATAAGGGGCCCCATGCAATGAGTATTTCATGAAGCTCGAAGTATTCAAAGAACTACCTTTATCTAAATATAAGCTTCCTGTTTTTTTTTTTAATTAAAATTCTTTTCCTGGAGCTGGGGATATATCTCAGTGTAGAGCATGTACTTCGAATTTGTGAGGCCCTGGGTTCAATCCCTAGCATCAAATACAGAAGAATACAAATTTAAATTAAAGTAATAATATATCGGTCTTGATAAAACTGATAGTGCTAGCTCCTAAAAAAACCCCTAAAAGTCTTAATGTTATTACTTCCATTTAAAAAAAAACTGTAGTCAGACTGGGATCTCCAATTCGATTACCATTAAGTCTAAAGTTTCATGGAGGAAGGCGTACATCAAAAAAAAAAAAAAAAAAAAAAACTCATTGGAGTCAATGAAGAAACAGGAGAGAGTGCAGAAGACAATAAAAAAAAAAAACTGTTCACAGAAGAGATGG